GGTTGCCTACGGTGTACAACAACCCCTACCTGAATCAACAACCACTCGACATGTTTCTCAGCTACGGTTTTCAGAACCGGCTCTCTCTTCGATGGACTCCGTATCAATAGAGGATAAAGAAGCAGGGATTACATGTCTAAACGATCAGCATAGTTGACAGATGCAAAGTGGCTTTAATCCAGACAGAGGAATGTTAAACACACAATGAAGATGGAATTGAAATTACAAGTCTAATGGTATCTAACCGATTTGTACAATTTTGAAGTAGTCAATCAAGTAAGGTATCTATAGATAAATGTGACGTCCATGAATGAGTGTTGTGTCTAGATCATTCGAGCCTCTCAATCGCGGCTGACATCACTGAACGGAGGAGTTAACTTAGTAACGGGATTGTTTAAGACTCCGGGATCAACATACCGGCCGAACAGCTTGACTTTCAACCAGTCAGTTGCCACCAACGTTCGGTTTCGCAACGAGAACAGTGTGCTCAGATAAGCACTCCTCCAGAACAAGTAAGTTGCCACTCCTCCCGTTGCAATCTATAGGCAAAAATCGTTACTACCATATCCCATCGGCAAGTGCTGGCTACTCACATTGCCATCCATGAATGGCAGATCCGCGATAGCCTTCTCAGATCCAATGTATGCTAATGATCCTTGATGTGAATAATGGAAAGGTCGGAGCTTCTGGTTCTTAAGCTTCTTGAGCACACTGGCAAGGGAGTCTTCGAGCTTCTTCTTCTCGTCGCCCGAGGAAGTCGTTGTCAGCGCTTGTTCAATTTCTGCGGCCTTCGCAGACAATTTCTCTGTCTTGGCCAATTCGTGGAAACACCTTGCCAAATATGATCCCTGTTGAGAAGCAACCTGAGCGGTAGGTGCATAGGAGGTAGCGGTGCAGTCTCCAATGGCGAAGATCGACCCGTTGGTACCATTCATACGTAAATGATCTGAAATAATGTCAATGGCCAGCTAGAAAGTAGGGAAAAGACCACGACATACCGTCGACCACAATACCGCGCTTGTTGGTTTGATCAGAGGGAAGCTGAGCCATAAGCTTCTGAGTAAGTGCTCTGCTTTTGTTGCCCGCAGCCCAAACGACCAAGCCACAGGGAACTTCGACTATGCTCTTGTCAGGCATCTGTAGGACGACGCTGTTTTCCTTCACCTGAGAAAGTCGACACTTTAGCTTCAAGTGTCGAATAAAGAAATGACATCCAAGAACCTACCTCTTTGACCATCGTCTTAGTTAAAATATCAATTTTGCTCTCCTTGAAGGTTGACTCAGTGTAGCTGATAAGCTGCTTGCTGAAAGATGGCAAGACCGATGGCAAAGCTTCGACAAGAGTGATGCGAATCTTGGCGGCGAGCTCGGGGTACCACATCTTCAAGTCATCTTCTAAAAAGTCGTGAAGCTCGCCACTGAGTTCAACACCAGTAGGGCCACCGCCAACTACTATCATATGAAGTAGGCGGTCAACTTCCGCCGTCGATTGTGTTGGGAATGCAGCAGTTTCAACACCTAAAAATAACATGAACATTGTTTCCGGAGGGTTTCAATGATAAACGCACAATCCATAAATGCGCGTTGCAAGCGTTCGGCGTCGTGTAACTCTTTCATGAAGCACGCATGTTCTTTAACTCCAGGAATGTTGAAGGTCTGCACTTCAGCGCCGACGGCATAGACCAGATAGTCGTAAGGAATCGTCGTGGAGGATACCAACCCTTTGATTTCAGAGTTGTCGGTGAATGTAACAGTTTTATTCAATGCCTGAAGTTTTCATGCTGTCAGGAAGTGTTTAAGCCAATAGCATTCGAGTACTCACATCAACGTCCGTTGCCTCAGCCTCAATCACGGACACTTGACGCGTTTTGTGTCGCGTAAGATACCTCGTCGATTGGATAATGGAGCGGGGACTAACGGTACCGACAGCTACGCTCGGCAACAAAGGCGTGAACAAGAAGAAGTTCTTGGGGCTAATGACGATCTGTTGGATAGAAAATGTCAGTTAAGGCTCATGAAGACTTGATACGTAAAAGTGGTGGATCAAATCCGAAAATGGCATGCCACCTACCACATTGTATTCTGAAGTGTCGAGTGTTTTTAGAAGGCTCGTGGCACCCCAGCCGCTTCCGAGGACGACGATCGTCTTCTTTTCGGAATCAAAAGGAAGTTGGGGTCCAGGATGTTTGTCGCGCTGGGTTAGATAGTAGAAGCCGCCTGAGCCGACAACAAGCGTGATAAGAGTTGCTCGTCCAAGGATTTGCAAGAAATTCCTCCATCTTGATTGACGGAAGATTGGCGGTGGTATAGGATTTGGAGTTGGAGGCTGGTAGTGGTAAATTTTTAACAATCAGCTCCAGGAAAGAGCGAGCACTGCCTAAAAAGATTTACAATGCCAGCGGCTTCAACAGCCAGTCCACGACGCAGAAGGCTATTGGTTGCTGGCGAGCGAGCTATTACGATTCTGGAATGGGCTAAAGACCTTGCCAGAGCTACTCCAAGTGTGAATCAGTACGACTTTTTCACAGCCGAGGCTCAGATCCCAGACTCACCTCGACCGCGGATTGCCTGCATGGTGAGAATTTCAATACTCAAGAGAAAATCTATCTACTAAAAAGAAGTGAATATTCGGCGCAAAGCGACCAATATATTTGGGCAAGGTTGAGCACAGAAGGAGGACGAGAACGGGGATTTGCTTTTGCTCGCTGTGCTCGGCAATCCTTTTGAACACTCAGTCGGTTGCTCTTCGAGCATGCGTCATGCGAAAATCAACTGATGCACGTGATACCGTGCTCCTCCGACCCGAGTGGCAGTGTCTTGCTTTGCCACCAACCTCGGCTTCCGGAAGGAAAAATCGGTCATTCCAAGGGTGATCAAACACGATTCTAGAGCACGGTTGGGCCCAGGGGAATTGACCTAAATTTTACTAAATTTGGCATGCCGGCTTACATAAGCGTTGCTGAGGCCGTGAATTTTCGCCCGGAGTCTTGTCTCAAAGCGACCTATTTGGTCACGTGATTTGAAATCGGTCTGTGGAGCAGACCGAACCAAAAAGGAAACCCCTTGGTATGGGGAAGCTGCCGTTCAATCCGCGAGGTTGGGTCATGTGATTACACCCCCGCAGTGATTGTCCTACACCTAAGCGTGGGTATCCAAACAACATTCGGCTGCCGCGACGTTCATTAATCTGAGCCGCAGGCAGCCGTCGTCGAAACAACAATTTGCATAGGCTGCCTGAGCATGCATGGATTGAGCCCCGACTCTGTGCATCCCGCCACCTCCGCTGTGCATCCCCATCCCTCCCCACATACCCTGCATTGGAAATCAACCGCCATTTGAGCGCGGGTATCCAAACGACATTCGGCTGGCGGATGTGAAGAGTGACGAGCAAGTGTCTGATAGACGTCCAAGAATCCGACATCAACCACACATCTCGTTCGGGACATCGTTTGGGTACTCAAATGGATGCGGCTCTGACATCATCTGGCGCAACTGAGAAATATCCGGAGCTCTATCAAAATTCTCGCTGGGGTATCTATTCACAGTGGTTGTTGCTGCTGCCTCCTAGACGCCAACCATAAATTTACCGGCATCATCACAACCAGCAAACCTTCGAATTATAAGGGTACAAATTACTACAAGTTCCATGTTCGATACAACTAGCAATCCATGTCCGTTCTCATCAAGGCAATGCCTCTCTAAACGTTGGTGTTCCTTTCAATCATATCAAAGCATTCGTGGGCGTGTTCATTCAAGTAGAAGAACCACTCCACCGTGCATTCCGCCTCCTCCACCATGCATCGTTCCGCCATGCATCATGCCACCCATCCCTCCCCACATACCCTGCATTGGGAATCCACCTGGCATCATCTGCATGCCCATGTTCACGGTCGACATCATCGACTTGACATACGTCGGAACGTCGACGCCCATCTTGGCCGAATCAGCTTCGAGCCTCTGGAAAGCCATGTTCAAGCGATCGACGGTTCCGTTGAGATCAGCTAAAACAGGCGCCATCTCTTGAATCCGATCAAGAGTCGCCAACTTTTCCTTTTCAAGCTCCTTTTGGGCAAGAATGTTCGCCTTGCGTTGTTCTTCGATCGCCTTTTCTTCCTCGATCTCAGTAGTCCTCACCATCAGCCGTAAAGCTGGCACGTCGTATATGGGAATTGCATTCAAAGCAATAACAGCTGGTTCGGTGGTGGCCTTGGCTTTTTTGCTTCCTAAATATATGTGTGTACCTATACGGTTCAAACAAAAAAGCTCACTCACTAGTTTTTTTAGGCTCTTGCGATGCTTCAGATTCTTCGTCACTCGCTAGGTCGATAACTTCCGCCTCTTCGACGGCCGCAGCCTTTGATCGCATAGTTCTGCCTAGGAAAACACAGATCTTCCAACCGTTCTTGATTTCACAACCAAAAAACTTACTGCTTCCAGCTTCAGCATTATTTTGGAGCCTCTTATTTACTTCTTAGACATCCTAAGCATGTAGATATGTTGCACTTTGGGGGGAAATCTGTCGGAAATTAATTTTAGCCGTACAGATACCCCTGTACATATAACTATCCTTAATGTTCGATTAGGATTTAGTCACTCCTTAGACACCTTTACTAGTTATTACAAACCCTTAGGATACTCTTACTAGGATTTCAGGTATATAAGCTAGCTAGAAACTCTTGTATTTACATGCAATTGCAAGGTTCATTCCTTACCTTGTTTCCAATTGCAAGATGTGCACAACATGTAATTTCTAAATCTCACAAAATCAGATTACATTGGGTAACTTCACTCACAGTGATAGTATTGAGATGAGGGATTGACTGTAGCAGCTCTGGCCTGCACTCTGCCACTTGGCAAGATTATAGACAATGATTTTAACATACTACAAATTGATCTGCAACAACTATCCAAGCCAGATCCTCATAAAGTCACAATTACCTGGTGGCCGCATTCCTTCATAGATGGAACTGAAAACAAAATAAATCCAAAAAGCAAAAATATGCCCACTAACCGGATTGAACGATTGACCTCACCATTATAAGTGCTTTATTGCAAAGCTGATACGAGTGGCGCGCTCTACCACTGAGCTAAACGGGCGATGTTGTCCATTAATCTTAATCCACTGTTTTAACAGAGGTGCGACCACGAGCCTAATCTTGCCTAATCTCGCTTTGATCCTGCTCGTATTATGTTTTATTGTTTACCGACCTGATTATCACCATGCTGAAAGCTAAGGTTCTCCTCACCAGTCTCTGGCACTGAGAAAAGCCCAAAATCACAATCCTGCCAAGTCTTGAGCAAGCACAGCCAAAGCTTTTTTCCTGATGTGATCACCTATAGCTATGCTGGTTGCGTTGAACACCTGTTTCCTAATATTTCGAGCACTGTTGCTCAGTAGTGCTGTACAAAATGGCCATGATTAAACGCTAGGATTGTGTTCAGCTCGTTCAGCAAGAGGAGTAAGCCGCAGGCTTGCGACAAGTGCGGAGGTGATATAGCTTGTACTATAGGTGGGTTGGTTGCCATCCAGTCAAAGTGAGGCAAGAGCTTAGGGTACACCAATGTAAATATTTTGTTCACCATACGACTGTAATTCAATTGACTTGAATGAATTATTTAAATTTTTCCATGAGAAAGATATCCCTACCAAACCCTAAAGCTTTCCGGATAAAGTAGAGACGGCGAAGGAGTTGAAAAGTTGGATCTCAAATATATCCTTCAAATATATATTATTAACTTTCAAGTGCCTTGTTTTTCTGAAAGCTTTCAGCACGGTGTAGAGACGGCGCAGCCGGCCCTTTTCATGTAAAACTATCTTATGAGAAAATTGACAGTGCCGCAATTAATCAAGGTTATCGAGCAACCGAGTCCAGTGAAATGATTAGCCGCTCCGCCTCCCTTGAGCGAGGTTTGATTTTGCATTTGAAGGGTGCAGGGTGTCTGATCATCTGTCAGAGATGTGCCATTCAAAGATCAAGTGTGTACTTACAGAATCATGGACGGAATATATTCTTGAGATGGGGATACTGGATTCCCGGTCTCGTCTTCTTCTGGCGTTATCTCGTAAACAGATAAGATAGAAGCAACTGTTATCCAGAGCATCGAAATCGCGATGTGTTTTCCAGGACATATTCTGTGAGGGTAAGTAAGCTGTGTATATTGTTTTTCATAAGATTAGTAAAATACGCACCTACGACCGAATCCAAATGCCACTGTTGGATCACGGACTTCGGGGTCCAAGCTGCCATTTTTCAAAAACCTTTCCGGATTGAATGCAAGCGATTCTGGATATTCGTTCTCATCATGCAACATAGCCCTTTACTCCGAAGTTAAATACATGGGAATATCAAACATAAATTCGGACTAACCAAACGTTTCCAGCAACGATCGAGCCTTTTGGGATGAAGTAGCCGTTGTACTCATCATCTTGAGTCACTTGATGAGGCACTGCCAACGGCGTTATGGCTCTCCATCTACAAGCAATTATTTTTCTTGTTAGGCTTAAACACAGGTGGAATAACTTACCGAATTATCTCCTTCACAAGGGCCGAAAGATAGGGGAGTGAAGATTCGTCCTCGAAGGTAGGAAGTTGTCCTGCTACAAGTACACGGTCAAGTTCAGCCTGAGCTTTCTTCTGAATTTCTGGGAAGCATGTCATGGCAAGCATAAAGGTGTTCATGGAAGCAACGGTGGTGTCGGCGCCACCTGTGCGTCACGTCGGTAAATTTACTCAATCAATCTGAGAAAAGGCACTAGCCAACGAAGAAATTGCCTGCAGTATTTCTGATCACTTCAAGTTGATGCTCCGTATCTCTAGTCTCATCAAGATCCTCGCAGCACAGAGAAACGAAGGATGATCGGGCAGTTCGTGCAATCTGCAGGTCTTCAGGGTAAGTACAAGCAAGAGTTGAATTGACCCAACGACGCACCACAGCCTTTTGGGTAGCGGCAAAAGGTATGTTGACCATGTCAGTCGCAGCGGCTCTCCACGATGATGCCTTGATTTGGAAACCAGCGCCAGGCATCCAAGCCGGAACATATTTTAAAATAGGAATAGAATCTACCAAGAACATTCCTGGTGCAGCAGATGCAGCGAGCCCAACCAGTGCCTTCTCGGCGACCGCAAGGTAAGGATCATCTTCGTCCTTGATTTCAATCCCGTATGTGATTGCCAGAGTGGATGCACCAGCAAGACTGGAGAATCTCGTTAGCATTTCGGAGACAAATCTAAAATCCTGCTAGACTAGCTACATCAGCAAGAGGATCCCCAGTCGAAGCGATGCAGGCGGAGTAGCCCTCGAGACAGATGAGCGTCCTCACAACGGCAATGACTTACAATCGAAGATGATCCATAAACTTCTCAGGCGATACAAGAAGCTTTTTTAGAGCTTTCCGAGTATATTCTAGCTCAAATGGCTGATGTACCAAGGTATTGCTTGGATGGAAATGTTTTTGAAAGAGGCGTCGATGTTCTTTCCATCGTTCGCCATACGGCATAAAGCCAAACAAAGTGTTCCACCCTGCTCTATAACCATTGGCCCTTGAGTTTACGAGCTGCTAGTCCAGAGAGAAACGTACAGTTCATGCAGCATGGTAGAATGAATACTATCATTCACGTCGTGAGCATTGGCTAACTGTGCTCGAGAATTGACCCGGCACCTACCGACTGGAATAGATGGCAGACCGCTTGTCGAAAAGCTCGGTTGCTGCTTTGTGAGAATTAACAATGACGATAGATGTGCCGGCTGCGTCGAGATGAATGATGTCTGACTCTATTTTGCCCAATAAGTTTCTAAAAGAGCAATGCCAAAGTGATAGACCCACTGAGCTCCTCACCCCACTTTGCGTAAGTTTCCCACTCGAACGTCGTCGGAAGCTGAAATATATTCCCGAATAAAGGCAGCTTTTTGGGACCGGGAGGTAATGGTCTCCTCGCACGCCTTCGACGGGCGGTAAAGTTGTTGTAGACAACGAAGCCACAGCATATTAGAAGTAAGATCCCTGCAGAGAGCATCGAAACTGGGTTGGTAGAAGTTCTGGTGGGGGGATACGATACAGGACCAGTGCAGTTACTGCTCTTTGGGTAGGAGCTCCATCCACTTTATACTGAGGATTAAGCGAGGCCAGAAATAACATTCCGTGATTGCTAGCCAGAATCGAAGAGAATTGAAGCTCAAGGACACATGAATGCTATAGATCTGAATCGAACCGGCGGTATAACATGGCAAAACTCGAGTTTTGAGACAAAGTTTGATAACTTGCAGGAAAGGTTGAAAACCACCTCGAGTTGCGTGTGGGCTCAAAGCTATCATAACCCGGAACTTCCGAAGAATTGAATGCGACGGGTTGAGATACTCCTGTAGGGTAAATAACCGGAGTCATTGTGGAGTTTTTGGGATGGACAAGGATCTAAGTGGGTCATGCTATAAGCAGCTCCGTTCCAAAAGACTTTGATATCAACTTTGTTAACAAGGGAATCATCCGGAGACACAAGCGACTTACTATAGCGAACAGAGCCACGCGCAACCTCGCATTCTAGATTACTTGTTGACAGTCAACTTGAATAGCCCTATCTCTCCGAAGTAGTATTGAACCAGAACGCATCTCTTTGAAGAGCAGAGCATGAGCTCATGCGCAAGTCATGGGTGCAATGTGGTAGGTCGAGAAGTCTGCATGACGGAGATTGAACACCTTGTTCCGAGATCACGACGGAAGCAACCCCGATATTCGAAAGTATATGAGAGTTCCTTAAACCGACTTAGCTTCGGATTACCGTTAAGCTTGAGCAATAGCACCGTACACCGCAATGCTCACAGAAGAAAGACCCGGTCTAACCCTGGGCCTGTGTGTGGACGCGACGCGCATTTCACGTGATTTTATTCTTCTTCCTTTTCTGGATGTTCCTTTGACGGAGTCACGGCCTTCCTCTAGCCTGGTTTCTCGAAATCCAACTGCATCTCCTCAGTTCACTAAATTACATGGCACTTCATGGCCCATATTCTGAATACACTATTATAAATGCAAGTCTCACTCAAGAAGTCTACCTGGTGGGAACCTCGGTATTCGAGTGAGAGGTGACCGTGGCTCCAATATCCGAAAAAGCAGCAACCTTGTACTTTTCGGGCATGTTGTCAGCTTGGACCCATGCTTTGGCTGATCTCTTTCGGGTAGTGTCGTAACGTGGGCTCCCTACAATGTCCAGCACTCGCTTACGGTAGCTGTTCTTCAAAACAAAGCATCGAGGGCGGTGAATATATAAATCTGACATCGAAGAAACAAAGCCCTCTTGTTTTTCTTCCGTCTCCCATTCGAAACTCTCCGCCTCTTCTGTCTCTTTCCTCCTGTGCACTTCCCCTCTTTTGCGTTGCTTCGAGCCGCGCTTCCTCTCTTTTGGTTCCTGGATTTGTTGCGTGATTGTTGGCTCAAGTCGACTTCAGCATACTTTACCACTTCCCGACACTGAATAATCAGCTGGATCATGTCGGTCTACTATCGTTATAAACTTCGAGATGAAGCTTCAACATCAGACTTTACTAGCTGGAGACATGTAGAAACGCAGGAGGATTTGAATAAGAGGGATGATCCTCTATCTTCTCATTCGTGAGTTGTAATTTCTTGGATGAGCGTAGGACTCTGCCTTAACTTCTTTCCATAGTAACATGCCGATGGATGATCCAAACGTTCCAGTGAACCAACCTCATACTACCTCCAGCGCTCCGCCGACGGGTTAGTTCATGTTCTCGAATCGCTGAGGAGTAAAACTAATGAAGGTCAATCGATAGCATCGTCTCAGTTTGTAGACCCGTTCGGACCTGCTCTTCCCTCAGCAACGGCTCCCAGTGCTGCGTCGAAGGTACCACTAGTTGGCGGAATATTAGGTGGTGTCATTGCACTGCTCCTTGTGGCAAGCATCATCTATTTTCTTCATTCTCGCACTCGTCGACAACGCAATGAGTACCAAGAAAGAGAAAAAGAAACGACGCTTCCACTAGAGAAAGTAGTTCTGCGTAAGCTTTACTCCCGTTCATACCTCATACTTTTTGCTAATACCTAACACTAACAGCCAACATGCCGGATGTTGTTGCAAGACCGTTCA